CAGGTTACTTTATTTTAGAATCAGCATCTAGAAATGGAATTATTAAGGATGGTAGGAATCTGCCGATGGTCCCTGGTGCGTGTTTTCAAATTCTCCTTTCAAAATCTGATACCAAGTGTAGTCCATGGGCATCCTATGCAAATGCCCCAACCAACACTTGCTATCATTATCATTTAATATCACCGAGGGGGTGCAATTTGGTAGGTAAAAATAAATAGCATCTTGCTTGTTTTGAATTTCTTTGCTTACTGGTGACTTTTGTTTTGTTTTGTTTTGTTTTGTTTTTTACTTTTCTTGTAGGCTTGTTGACCTTTTGGGTTGCTTTCCTTGGAGAATGGCTGTGATTTTCTTTTGCTAGCTTCCTAGGGGAGCATCCCTGACCCTGGAGGTTGACTTTGGGAAGGACAACCCCACCTGCCCTGCCACGTCCTTTGGGGACACCATTTTCACTAGTATCCTGGTCTAGGAGGGGTCTGAAGCTCTTCACCCAGGGTACTGTTCAGGGCACTGTTTCCTTGTGCCTTCCAGGAGTGAGTGAAAGCCTTGAGCGCAGAAGGGGCTGCCTGCCGGGAGGTGGGAGGTGTGGCAGAGCCTTTACCTTGGGGATCCCTCTTAGACAGTGAGTAGGAAGACAAGGACAAGGACAGATATGGTGTGGTGGTATCTTGGAACCTGAAGGACACGAGAGATTCCAGAAGGTGGAAGGGCAGCTAGGTGAGATGGACAGGGATTTGGGTACTCGGAGCTCATCACTGTGCCCTGAGAAGCAACTGTAGGTGTGCATGTGGGTGTTTTAAGGACAGATTGAATGGCAACTAAGTGAAGTAAATGGTATGAATCCAGGAATAAGGATGAAAGCAGGATGTCCAGAGTCCATTCCAATGAGTGTCCCAAGCTTTGTTGGGGTCCCGGGTGGTCCACCATGTCCCTGTGGTGTCTTCATCAATCTCCCTGCCTCTACCCTTGCTACCCCTTTCCCTCTAGGGCCGCCACCTCCTCCTCCTCCTCTTCCTCCTCCTCCTCCTTCTTCTTCTTCTTCTTCTCCTCCTCCTCCTCCTCCTTCTTCTTCTTCTTCTTTTTTTTCTTCTCCTCCTCCTCCTCCTCCTCCTCTTTCTTCTTCTTCTTCTTCTTCTTCTTCTTCTTCTTCTTCTTCTTCTTCTTCTTCTTCTTCTTCTTCTTCTTCTTCTTCTTTCTTCTTCCTCTTCTTCCTCTCCTTCCTCTCCTCTTCCTCCTCCTCCTTCTCCTCCTCCTCCTCCTCCTTCTCCTCCTCCTTCTTCTCCTCCTCCTCCTCCAACTCCTTCTTCTTCTCCTTCTACTTTTTAGGGCTCTCTGCTTCTAAGGCACAGTTGGGACCATGGCCTTTTCTGGACGTTCTTCATTGCGCCTCAGCTGAGTCCAGAGCTGGCCTCACACCCGCTTCACTAGCCTTCCCTCTGCCCCACTTGCCTCTCTACCCTCTTGAATTCTAGCCTACTAGCTGGTGAACTTGGAGAGAATATACCCTTGGAACTCCAGTGAATGTGTGAGACAAAAACAGTAATGCCTCCCTCATAGGATAACATTAAAACGTTAGGGGAAAGAGTCTGGTGGACTTTTCAGTTTTCATTCACTCATTTACTTCAGAAGTGCTCACTGGGTACCTGTCTAGGTCTCTGCAGCCACGGAGACTCTGCTCTGGGTGGGGAAGGGGGCTATCAGCGGATTGTGTAGGCTGTTGCCTACACAACCGCTGAGTTACAATTGAGATAAGGCTACTATGGGACGCTGATAGGCAGCCAATAAACGCCAGGCGTCCCCACCCCTATTCATTCTTTGTGATTCAGTTAGAGACATGACCATAAACTGCCGTTACATATCTGTTCATTGTTTGACTTGTCACAACAAACACAGTCTACTTTTATAACTTAAAAAGTCCAGTAAAATTTATGCTGCCTAAATCCTCAAACTTCTTTTTTTTTTTAAAGATTTTTTATTTATTTATTTGAGACAGAGAGAATGAGAGACAGAGAGCATGAGAGGGAGGAGGGTCAGAGGGAGAAGCAGACTCCCCGCCAAGCAGGGAGCCCGATGCGGGACTCGATCCCGGGACTCCAGGATCATGATCTGAGCCGAAGGCAGTCGCTTAACCAACTGAGCCACCCAGGCGCCCCTCAAACTTCTTTTTAAAGAAGGGGAAACGGCAGCTCAGATATTACTTTCTGGCTGTTCCCTCCCTCCCCACACCCTCTGCTGGGGTCGCTCCCACCTCCCTTCATGTGGACCTCGACCACCCCCACCTTGCACTGGGGGGGCCAGGAGTCCCAGCAAGGGCAGGGGGCTGAGTGGTTGGCCATGCCCGGGGCCAGCACGGTCTCAGCAGTTACAAGGACAAGGGCAGGGCAAAGCCGAGAAGTGGCTTTTCCATGGGCACATGAAGGTAGGGAGGCTGAGGACTGTGGTCACCTCTGGGTGAGATACAAAGGGAGCTTCAGAGACATAAGTGGAGGAGGCACCCTCTGAGACCAGGAGGGCAGATTGGCCCATCACTCAAGGAAAGGTTGAAAGGAAAGAGGAGGCAGCTCTGAGGTCCTACGGCCAGGCCTGGGTTTACTCTGAGCCCTGCCACTCTCTGCTTTGTGTTGACCAGAGCCCCTGAGTGCTGCCTCTCACTGATCCTCCTCATACCCACGACTCAGGGATGCCCCCCATCTTGGCAACCTCCCCAGCTCAGCCCCTCTATTCCCACCATGCCAAATTAGACAAAACCTAATTCAGAAGTGAGAGGATTCGGCAAAACAATCGTACCTACTGACTTAAAAAACAGCCAAGCAATTTTTTTCAATCTTTCTCATCAAATGTAGAATTCCAAAAGTCTTAGGCATTATTACACCTTTGACCTGAACTCATTGATTAGTGATTTGATAGTGCTGTTCTCTAAATGTTCTGATGGTGGTCTGCAAATCCAAAGATCCAGAACTGTTGATGTGAATGACCTGTCTTGACTAATTGTCCACTCCCTGCTTACCCTGGCTTCCAGTCCTTATCTAGCTCCTGGTCTCTCCCTGTGACTGTCTGTCAGGACCTTGTGAAAATGGGGGTGTCTGGAATGGCAGAGAGTACCTCTGCCCTGAAGGCCTCCATGGTCCTTTCTGCCAGTGGCAAAGGTCCATCCTCGTGAGAGGTGAGAAAGACGCAGCTCCAAGACATCTTTGGGGAGGGGTGGGGTACAGACAGGAGGGAAGACTTCCCTTTTAAGGAAGTCCCCTCATACTATCCTGTAGAATTCCTAATACTCTCTACCTTTATGACACTATTGTCACAAAGATTCTTTTCATATTTTCATCTCATAAGCAGGAAAGAGGAGTCGGGATTGTAGTCCCATATTGCATAGGAGAATAGAGTCCTACACATGTGATCACATGTTCTAAGTGGTGAAGAGATGACAGAATGAGACCTCTAGATGCAGGATACATTCCCAGCATTCTTATACTCTGACAACTGTAATCTATTGAGTGGGCTATGGGGCCAAGGAGTAGGAGGAGCTCACTTGGGCCACAGGGTGGCCCAGGTAGAGGTGGTAGTGTGGCTAGCTCTTGAGGAAGTGTGTCTGGAGAGAACAGACAGGGGGCAAATTATCCGTGGAAATGTGTCTTAGCTCTCCTGTTCTTCCTGGGTCTGTGAGAACTGCTAGGATAGAGAGTGTGTGGGGGTGGGGGGTGGGGGGTGGTCTCACATGTAAGACATGAGGAAGAGAGACTTGTCAGACTAAGTAACAGCCAGAAGACTCAAGGTGACTATGTGGTCTGCAAATCACAGAATGTGGGCAGCAAAAGGAATGTGCATGGGGCATTTGTTTGAGTACAAATGTCCTTTCAAATTTATGCCAGAGTGCCCAATAAATAGACATGTCCCAGAGTGCTGAGGGAAGAAGGTGTAGGCAATTTTGGGCAGAATATATGTATATCTGAGCAGCCGTACAGATTTGTCAAAAATCTGTAACCATACAACTAACAATCCAAGCCATAAATCATAATCAACATCCAGAACCTCATGTAGTAACACCTTGCCCTCTAGACAAACTAGTATATTCCAGAAGGGACAAAAGTCTAGATCATCATTGGTAAATTGTCTAAATATACAGATTCCTCTGATATTTCTAGTACCTCTGATGAGAGAAATTGTGCTTCAGTATCACAGGTTGACCAGCTATCCGGGACAGATTGTCACTAAATTCAATGACAAATTCACAGACCACAGCATCATCTGATTTTTTTTTAAACCCACAGGGTCATCTGCAACCACCTCTAACGACTATGGATACACATCGACTTCCAATAACTCCTCTACCCTTTCAGCCACATCCACTTCAACGGAATCCAATGTCACCACAGCCAGTTCAATGTCATCAAATTCTACAGTCTCATTTTATACTACAAGTTCTTCTAGTTCTTTGAGCCCCAGTGGATTTTCTACCACAACTTTGAACACTGGTAACAGCATGAAAACTTTTACTGAATTGACTTCTGTCTTCACAACCAGTCCTGAGTTGTCCAAATCAACTGTTTCCTCTGGGACCTCCTCTACCTGGGAAGATAGTGCTGCATTCACCTCAAGCCCTGGTCATCTATCTACCACCCCTACCGTCTCAGCTCAGACAGATTCAGACCTCACAGAAGGATTGACTGTGTATACAGGCACCCCTGATTTGTCCAAGCTTACAGTTACCTCAGACAGCACCATTAGCAAAGGGGATGGAATGGCCAGGTCCAACGTAGGGCCTACTGAATCTTTTACATCAGGGACTGCTGACTCCTTTTCTACCCATGTTGATAGTGGACTAGCAACCCCATCCTTTGCTGCAAGGTCCACTTTCTACATTGGCCCCTCTGAGTTGTCCACACCAAAGTTTCCCACCCACTCCTCCCACAGCACAGATAATGCAAGTCCTGCCTCCACATCCAGCCCCGGTGAGCTCCCTATCCGCACTCTGGGTCCTGGCCAAGCAGACTCAACTCTCACAGGGGAGACAACCATCCTCGGCACTGTGCCAGTTTCATCTGAGCCCCCAGCATCATCCCCGGTTTCCCATGCCCCAGGCACTGGGAGTTCTGGGTCTTTGTGTAGCCTTGGGGAGGCATACCCCAGCCCAGCTGTCTCAGGAATAACTTCCAGTACAGTCCCCTTCAAGCCCACTGAGTACAGTATCCTGCCTGGTTTTTCTCAACCCACAGGCTCATCTGCAACCACCTTTACCAAAGAGGATAGAAGTTCTGTGTCCACATCAAGGTCTTTTGAACCTTTTACCACTTCTGTTGGTGATGACCAAAAAACTTTTCCTCCTGGATCCACCTTGAATACAATAATCTCACCAGTGTCTACAGCTACATCTTCTTTCCACTCTTCGTACAGCACAGACAAGACTAGTCCTGGTTTCCCATCAAGCCCTAGTGAGCTCACTCACCCAAGTCTATTGTCTGAAGTAACCACACTGATTGTCACAGAGGAGTCAATATTGTATACCAGTGTTTCTGATTTGTCCAAATCTACTGTTTCCTCTGAATCTTCTTTTACCAAATTTGAAGGAAGTTCGGTATCCTCTTCAGGTTTTGGCCACCTTTCTACCACCACAGGTATCTCACAACATACATCCTTAAGTCTAAGTGATGGGTCTACTGTCTATACAGGCACCCCTGATTTGTCCACACCTACAGTGATTTTGGACATGACTCTTTCCAAAGAGAGCACAAGTTCTGCTTCTACTTCAAGTTCAGGTGAAACTTTTCCCTCTACAGGTGGATATCAAGAAACACCCACATCCTTTACCGTGGAATCAGCTGTCTCCACAATCCTCTCAGATTCATCAAATCCAAGAGTTCCACATGATACTTTCTATACTACTCATAATGTTACTCATCAGTTTCTGTTGATACCTCCTCTACCATCCCTACTGGGGGTCCTGCACCCTCATCAAGTTCTAGCTTGTTGCCTTCCACTACCATCCCAACCATCACTGAGGAATCCAGTGCCTTCACCACTACCACTTATTCCTCCAACACAACTGATTCATCTGATGCCCCCCAAATCACTGAAGATCTTAGTCCATTATCTTCATCAAGCCCCATCCATTCCTCTTCACCCCCAGCCACCTCTGGACAAATGCCCACCACCTTGGATGAGAATTCCACTTTATTCATCACCAATAGTGCTTCTGCCAAACCAACGATTTCTACTTCCATCCCCCCTGCCACGGACAGCCCTAGTCCTGCATCCCCATCAGCTCTAACTTTCACCTCTACAACTAGATTTATATCCAGACCAGTGGAGGATCTACTATCTTTCAAAGCAGCACAGGGATACCAAACGCAACAATATCATCTAACAGCTCCCAAACCCTAGTCCCTGGTGCTTCTTCTTCAGCCTCAGCTATCCCTGGCTTCTCCTCTGGGCCAGTCCCTGACTCTTCTTCAGCCCTTACAACTTCTTCTGGTTTTTCTCCTCCTCTGTCCTCCCCTCCACCTGGCTCTACCCATGCTCCAGTTCCTGGGTTCACTACCTCTTCAACCCTCCATCCCCTGTTCACTAACACACACACAACTGTGAGGACGACCCAGTCTTCAGCTATGACACCAAGTAAGTCTTTTTGTATGTCACTCTGTGTGCCTCTCCTGTCCATCTTCTCTCATCAACCAGTCAGCTTTGATTTGACCTCTTTGTGGTCTTGTTCCACCCTTCCATTGCCTTCTAGTTGTCAATGAATATCATCCACAGGAATGGTTATTGTTTTTTCTTTTCTTTTCTCTTTTGTTTGTAGGGCTTTTGCTTTCTTCACTCATCCCCTTTCATCTTTTGTTTCCTTCTTCCTCATTGTCCCTCCTTCTTCCCCTCCCCCTTGGGCTTGAGGTGGTGGCAGAGGGTCCCATCCTCCTCTTTCAGTGTAATGCCTGAATGATGGGTACTGGAATGGGAGCCAGTATTTTTGTCCCTTGGTCTTCCACGGTGACTGATGTGAATTCTACCCCTTCACAGGGCAGTGTCAGAATGGGACCATATGGAATGGAGAAGAGTGTGTCTGTGCCCAAGGCTTCTTTGGTTACCAGTGCAAGTCCCTTATGGACTCCTTCCTCCTAGGTAATGAACTTTTCTGAGATCTGCAAATTGTCCCTATGCTCCTTAACCACTTAAATAGGAAGGCAACGCTGGAAGGATTATCTGCTACCACTACCTCATTGTGCAGGTGGATGAGAAAATACAACATTTACCTAGACCCAAATGCTTAGGTAGAACATAGACCTTCTGACTCCTTCTTCAGGACTCTTTTCACTAGCTCCTCTGCCCCTTGGATCAAGATGTTTTTAACCCAGCCCTTTCTGGAGACCTCTGCTTAGCTCTCTCTGGGTCATGATCCTGACCACTAACTCTTCATGGTGTTCAGAGACAAGGGGCAGAAGTTTCAGTGACTCCTACTTGCCTCCTGGATTTCCACCCACCCTCCTACCCACTTTCTCTACCTCCATGAGACCAGCAGGTAGAGAATTAACCAATCCCAGAAGACATTATTGGGAGGTTGTTATCTCATGCATAATATGGCTATTCCCACAGAAATCCCGGAAAAAGTCAATGCCACTTTAGGCGTGACAGTGAAAGTGACTAATAGGAATTTCACAAAAGACCTGAATAACATATCCTCCTCGGTATACTGGAACTTCACTCAACTATTCAAGAATCAGGTAAGAGAAGGGAAATCCTAGTTTCCTCAACGTGGATGTCCAATGTCATTGAGGATACAGGGGCTCATTCTGACTGACTTTGGAGTTTCTCAGCCCATGGATCCCTTCAGTCTTCCCAAGTCCTGGGTGGGGGATCCTCTGAGAGCCCCCTTCCTTCAGTACCACCTCAACCACATCCTGGGAGAGGGAGCATCCCTATATCTATACTTTTCCTTCCTTCTTTTCTATGAGCTAATTCCATGGGTTCCCCGGGGGAAGGGGGCCCTGGGGCTGCCTCTGAGACAGGGAACAGGGGCTGTTGCATGCCCCAAGCCTGTATGAGCTCAGCTACCTCATTTATTTCAGATGGATAAAGCTTACGTGGGCAAAGACTTTCCCCAGTACAGAGGTGTGATCATTAGGAGACTGTTGTTGAGTATGTGGGGGGGTCAGATTTATAGACTGTGGGAAGCCCCCTCTCTCTGCTCTCTTGTCTTCTCCCATCTTGAATGAGTATCAGTACCTAGCTGGACCAGAAGGGCACCCAGCCCACAGGCAATACCAGAAGGTTCTGAGCCATTCATTTATTCATTCATTTATCCTTCATCCATTCAACAAGCTTGTACTGAAAGCCTACCTACCCTGTGCTAGGTGCAGGGAACACAGTGGTCCTGGTTTTCATGGAGCAAAGAGTGGCAGAACACAGCAAAATGGCTGTGCAATATAGTTAGAGTTAATGGTAAGAGACACACAGGGTGCAATGGGAGAGGTTGAGTGCAAGCTGGGTGAGGTGGAGGAAAATCTTTCTAGAAGAAATGACAGCTAAGCTGAGGCTAGAATCAGGAGGAGGAACAAGCCAGGAGGAGGGAATTGATGATGAGGAGCCTAGAGGTGAGAGAGAGGAGGGTAGATTCCAGGAACATAAAGAACAGTTGGCAGCTTGAAATCATGGTGGGAGAGGAGGTGGAAAGATGACCCGTACCAAGTTACTTAATCTTTAAGCATCCGTAGTTTTGGCCCACGTGGGAAGGTATCTGATTTGCACTTCAGACAGCTCAGTCTGGCTGCAGGACTGAGAATGGGTGGACAGGGGATGGAGATTATAGTGACCTGGACCACAGAGGTAACAATGCGGAAGAAAAATAGTCCAGTGTGAAAGGTCTTTAGGAAGCAAGACCAATGGATCATAGGGATTTGATGGGTGTTTGGAGAGAAGGAGGGATGACACCAGATTTCTGGGCCACTAGGGGTGTGGAGTGCCCTTTGCTGAGATGAGGAAGGTTAAGAAGGAGGGGGATGGGAAAGAAGATGATAAGTGGGCTGTGGGGAGTCTCAAGTGCCCAGGGCCCAGCCACACTGAATGGCTGAGTAATGGAGCAGCATGTGGTGGAACATGTAATAGAAAGTATCTGCAGCAGAGACAATGGAAGAAGGTTTCCCTGGATAGAAGTTGCTGGAAGCCCTGGGAGTAGAGCATATGACCTGGGGATGGTCACAGCACAGGGACTAACATTTCCCAGGAAAGAAGCATGGGAAGCACCAGCATCTAAGGGATAGGGAGGAGAAGCAGAGTGGCGAGAAGTAGACAGAAGCGTGGGAAGGGAGCCTGGAGGGTGTCTTGTCCCACGAGGGAAAGAGAGAGATCTTGTCAAGGGCCCATGGGGTTCCATGCCTCAGCATCCTCTACCCCACCCTCACCCCCTGCCCAGTACCAGCGCTTATTTCCATCTCCATTTTGGCACAAGGTTTTGTTAGTTTTTGTCCTCCTGTGTCCTATTCCTGACTTCTCTGTCACAATGGCTGTGACTGGTGACAGACCTTGTCTTAAGATCTCTCAGTGCCCCATTGGCCATCTAACAAGGAGCTTCTGGGTTGGGATCTTGTATTTCTAAAGCGACCTCATGTTTCTTCATTTCTAAAAGCATGCTTATTTGGTTTTCAAAATATAATCCAACAAACTCTATTTAAAATTTTTAATTTAAAATATTTTTTATTGTGGTAAAATACCCATAACATAAAGTTTGCCATTAACCATCAAATGAATCATTTTAAGTGTACAGTTCAATGACATTAAGTACATTCACAGTGTTGTGCAACCACACCACAGTCCATCTCCAGAACTTTCTCATCTTCCCAAGCTGAAACTCTGTACCTTTTTTTTTTTAGATTTTATTTATTTATTTGAGAGAGAGAATGAGAGAGAGAGAGAGAGCATGAGGGGGGGGAGGGTCAGAGGAAGAAGCAGACCCCCCGCTGAGCAGGGAGACCGATGTGGGACTCCATCCAGGGACTCCAGGATGGTGACCTGAGCTAAAGGCAGTTGCTTAACCAACTGAGCCACCCAGGCGCCCACTCTGTACCCTTTAAACAATAACTCTCAATTCCCCCTCAAACCACCTCGGGCAACCCCCATTCTACGTTCTGTCTCTATGAATTGGATAACTCCAGACACTTTATATCAGGACTCACGTAAATACTCATACAGGATTTGTCCTCTTGTGACTGGCTTATTTCACTTAACACAATGTCCTTTAGGTTCATTCACATTGTAGTATGTGTCAAAATTTTCTTCTTTTGTAAGATTGAATAACATCGCATTGTACTGTATACCACATTTTATCTGTTCATCCATCAATGGACACTTACTTAGTTTGCTTCCACCTTTTAGCTATTGTGAATAATGCTGCTGTGAACATGGGTGTACAAATATGTCTTCAAATCCCTGCTTTCAATTCTTTTGGTCATATGGTAATTCTATTTTTAATTTTTTGGGGAACTGCCTTACTGTTTTCCTCAGTGGTTGTGCCATTTGACATTCCCACCAACAGTGCCCAAGGGTTCGATCTCGCCACATCTTCACCCAAGAGCCTTCCATTTTTAGGAATGAATTTCACCCAATGGCATTTATTGTGATCACTGATATTTTGGAATCTTAGATTGTTTGGCCCTGCAGCCAGCTTCCCTCCAAGACGTTAACTGTTGGAGGGAAGAGTCTCTAGTCTGTCCTGCCTCTGTATCACACAGCTAATTGTCTCTCATCACCCCTCTTGCTTTGTGGGCCCCACTTTCTGGAAGGGTGGGAGACCCAGGGTGACTGATGAATCACCGAGTCCTGGTTCTAGCAATGGCAGTGTTGTGGTGGAACATGATGTCGTTATGGAGGCAAATTACACTTCAGATTACCAGAAACTGTTTGAAAACCTCACTAAAATCATAAAGGTCAAGATTATGAATGAGACCAAAAGGCTATCTGGTGATTCTGAAGTGTGCAGAGGTAGGCTCACCCAAAACCCCTTGACGAAGGTGGGGAAAGGATGGGAGGGGTCCCATAGGGTGGGCTCAGCCTCTCCCCACCCTGCATGTCTCCTCTTTTCTGGAACTCCAGAAGCCTCCCTATAGGGATCCTGAAGCCAGGCCTGGGTGCCTTCCCCAGACTCTCCAGTGCCCCGAGCAGCTTCTCCCAGTCTCGGGCTCAGGTTGTCCCCAGCCTTAATGCCCCCATCTGAGCCTGCTTACAGGCCCAGCCGCATCTAGGGATGGGCCAAGCCCCTAGTAGAGCAGAGGGCAGTGTTTCTTTTCCACCATGCTTAGCAGCCTCCTCACCTCTGTGTTACGATGAGGAAGCCACTACTGTGAGCAAGACCGTGAAGCTGGGCTTTGACCTGCAGGGTAA